GACATGGACCTGCGGTGATTGATGATGCTCTGTTAGAGATTTGAGCAGAAAAAAAGTTAAAAACATTCTGCTGAGTATTCCTGTTTCTGAAAAACTTGCATCTATCAACCACATAACAATTTCATCCCGTGATGATCACAGCCCTTATCATCTTTTTCAGTAATATCTAGCTAAAAAAGGGAAGCTCCCATGGCCTCCTCCCTCATCCTATCATTTGTAATCCTGGCCGTCCTCTTGTGCTCAGCCGGAGGTCAGCTTAACGACGAAGTCCTGGGCCTCATCGTCTTCAAGTCTGGCCTCCAAGACCCCTCCAACTCCCTCGCCTCCTGGAACGAGGACGACGCCTCCCCCTGCGCCTGGCTTCACGTCCTCTGCAATCCTACCACCGGCCGCGTCACCTCCCTCTCCCTCGACGGCCTCTCCCTCTCCGGCAGAATCGGCCGGGGCCTCGACAGGCTGCACGCCCTTAACTCCCTTTCCCTCTCCAACAACGCCCTCACGGGCCCCCTCAGCCCCGACCTGGCCCTCATCCCCAACCTCCGCCGCCTCAATCTCAGCCGCAACGCCCTCTCCGGCAATCTGCCCCTCAAAATCTCCACCCTTCACTTTCTCGACTTCTCCGAAAACTCCCTCTCGGGCCCCCTCCCTGACGACATCTTCCGAAACTCCTCCTCTTCCCTCAGGTACCTCTCGTTGGCCGGGAACCGTCTCGAGGGGCCCGTCCCGAGCACCCTCTGGAAATGCGGCTCCCTCAATCACCTCAACCTTTCGGGCAATCGCTTCTCGGGTGTGCCTGCAGGAGCCATTTGGTCTCTCACGAGGCTCCGCACGTTGGACCTGTCCGCAAACCTGTTCACGGGACCCTTACCGCCTGGTGCTTCGGCAGTTCATAACCTCAAGGAGCTCGTTCTACTTGGGAATCAGTTCTCGGGGCCCGTGCCAGCTGACATTGGCCTCTGCCCACACTTGGCCCGCCTCGACTTGAGCGACAATCTGTTGGCAGGACCTGTTCCCGAGACCCTGCAGCGGTTGAGTTGGCTCGTTTATTTGAGCCTGTCCGGAAACTCTCTAGCCGGAGATTTCCCTTGGTGGATTGGGAAACTAGGCAGCAGCATCCAATACTTGGATCTGTCTAGGAATGCTCTCACGGGAACAATTCCTGCATCGATTGGGGAATTGAAGTCCCTCAAATTTCTGAGCTTGTCTGACAATATGTTGAGCGGGACCATTCCTGGGTCGTTGAGCGAGTGCTATAGCTTATCTGTGATTCGGTTGAGCAGGAATAGCCTCAACGGGAGCATACCGGACGGCTTGTTCGACATGAAGCTGGACGAAATCGATCTCTCTAGAAACAACCTGACTGGGCTGATTGTTCCCCCGGCTTCCAATGGTAAAGCTTTCGAGACACTCCAGATATTGGATCTGTCGAGGAACAATCTGCAGGGACCACTCCACTTTCCAGCAGAATCGAGAGTGAGGTACCTGAATCTGTCGTGGAACCATCTGGCGACCAGTATGCCGCAGGAGTTCGGTCGCTTTCGAAATCTCGCCGTCTTAGATATGAGAAACAACGAGTTGACAGGATCGATACCGGGCGACATTTGCGAGTCTGCCGGCAGCTTGGCAATCCTTCAGCTTGATGGGAACTTGTTGACGGGTCCCATCCCTCGTGAAATTGGAAACTGTTTGTCTCTCTACTTGCTGTGAGTTTCAAGCTGCTATGTTTCTCATTTCTAATGCCAGAATTCCTTTTCTCCTCTTATTATTCTATTTTGTTAATAATAGGTTGAATTGATATTTATTACAGGAGCTTGTCCCACAACAACCTGAGCGGACCCATTCCTGAATCCATGTCCTCACTGACAAATCTCAAGATTCTGAAGCTTGAGGTGAACCAACTGACAGGGGAAATGCCCCGGGAACTCGGCCAACTCCAGAATCTTGTAATCGCGAATCTCTCCCACAATAGGCTGGTCGGCCGACTGCCCCCCGGTAGCATATTCCCGACCCTGGACTCGAGTGCAATCGAGGGAAATTTAGGGCTCTGCTCCCCTATCCTCAAGGGACCCTGCATGCTCGATGTTCCCAAGCCTCTTGTTCTCGACCCCTACGCCCACGGCAACCGAAACCCCTCATCAGGAATAAACCCCAACGACGTCATGTCCCGCCACCGCAGGTTCCTCAGTGTCTCGGCCATAGTCGCCATGTCAGCTGCCGCCGTCATAGCCGTAGGCGTTTTGGTCATAACTTTGCTCAATGCCTCTGCTCGTAGAAGGATCGCATTTATAGAAAATGCCCTGGAAAGCATGTATTCGACCTCGTCATCCAACATCTCTGCCGGTGCCGGAAAACTCATTCTCTTTGACTCCAAGTCGTCCGCTGACTGGTTCGGCAGCGGTCTCGACTCCGTCCTCTGCAAAGCGGCCGTGATCGGGGAAGGAGCACTGGGGACCGTCTACCGGGCCCCATCCCCAGGGCTGGTGATAAAAAAACTCCTAATTACCTCTGTTGTGTGCCCCGAGGAGTTTGATCGAGAGATCCGCATCCTGGGGAAAGCGCGCCACCCGAATCTGAACCCGCTCAGAGGATACTACTGGACACCTCAGCTTCAGCTTCTGGTCTCGGATCGTGCAGCCGGGGGCAGCCTGCAGTGGAGGCTGCACGAGCACCCAGAGGCCCTGACATGGGCCGAGCGGCTGGGGATCGTGGTGGGTACGGCCAGGGGCCTGGCCCACCTGCACCACGCGTTCCGGCCACCGATTGTGCATCACGGGGTGAGGCCAGCGAACGTGCTCCTGGATGAGGATAAGATACCGAGGCTATCGGACTTCGGGCTAGCTAGACTGGTGGGCGGGCCCAGGGGAGTGGTGGAGGGGTACACGGCCCCGGAGGTGGGGTGCGGGAGCCTGAGGGTGAATGAGAAGTGCGACGTGTACGGGTTTGGGGTGGTGGTGCTGGAGGTGGTGACGGGTAGGAGAGCGGTGGAGTACTATGAGGAGGAGAGGGTTGTGGTGCTGACGGAGCAGGTGAAGGGAATGGTGGAGAGGGGGAATGTGCTCGACTGCGTGGACAAGAGGATGGGACTTTGTTACCAGGAGGAAGAGGAGGTGCTACCGCTGCTCAAGCTGGCCCTCGTGTGCACGTCTCACCTGCCGTCCAGCAGGCCATCCATGGCCGAGGTGGTGCAGATACTAGAGGTTATCACAACGCCTCTGCCCGCCACAACACAACCTTACTGAACTTTCCATTTTTCTTTTTTCCTTGGGTTTCTTTGTGTCTGCGTGCGTGCGTAGTAAACGGTAGCTGCGGACCTGCGATACCACTAAATTTTAATTTGGGGTGTAAGTGATTCGATATTGTATTTTTTTTTTTACTACAACCAACTTAATTAATGTTCCTGTTGAATTAATCCAATCCTCACAACTCTTCCTTCCATTGTCTAACTAATAATGCTTCTTCAATGTTTACATGTAATGCCACTCATAAAGGCGCAATTACCGATGTTAACCATCCATGACTACGTGCATGATAGAATTGATTTTACAACTAATTGCGGAATGTTTTTAATTATAATTAAAAATATAGTATTTAGTCTACCAAGGTGGACACATATTAATATGCCCAAGGTGGACACATGTTAATATGTCCACCGCTTATGTGGTATGCACACATTGGCGATGTTAATATGTTCTAAAAAATACATCACCAATGTGTGCATTCCACATAAACGGTGGACATATTAACATGTGCCCCGTGGGTAAGAGAGCATTACTCATTGTTCATTTGAACATAATAGTAATACTAATAGTTATATTAAAATTTGAATATTATTATGTTAATTTATGTGACACCAAAAATGAGAAACATAAATATTTACAGAATAAATTAAATGCAATTTAGGTTTCTTATTGCAACAGAAACATAGTGATTGACGATAATCAGAATCAATCCCCCAAACCACTAGTTCCAACTCCAAACTAAAATTATGCTAGATTCTGATATAACTGGGAATTGAGAATCCCTGATTCTTTTGGCAAATAAAAAAAAAAAAAGAA